CTGTTTTTAAATTAATTTTGATTAAAATATAGTATTTTTTGTTTATAAATTAATATATAAAATTTGAGTATATTAATTGATTTGACCAATACTGCAATAAGTACAAAATTTTGAATCCCGTAAAAGAATATGTTTTATGCCTGTTATAATAATTATTTTATTTTTTATAAAATTTTATTAAAAAGTCTATAAAGAACCAGGTGAAATTAGAAATAGGCACTATGCAGCATAATGCTTAATTGTTATATAATTAAAATTATAAAAATCATATCGGATGTTAATTTTTACATACTGTAAATTATAATAGGACCTCGAACAATACTAATAGAGGTCATATTTGAAAAATAGCTAACAGAGGTCAAAATTTTACAAAATTAAGCAATTTGATTGGCTAAATTTTTTTTTATCCAATCAAATTGCAGAAAAACTACTAATGGCTCAAATATGACCTCCATTAGAATTGTTCGGGGCCCTATTATAATGTGACGATTATGCACCATTCTGCATAGTGCCACATCTAGGTGGGATTGAAGAAAAAGTTTATTAATATTATAGGTGAACTTAACCCCTTTATGGCCAATGTCTAATGTACTACGTACGTACGTATATACGTATTTGATTTAAAAGTTTCGAAACAATAATTTTTAAAATTAAATATATAGTAGAGATGGCTTAATAATATTAATAATATATATGCATATTTAGAATTGGTGCCAGGTAGAATATGTATTATACGACTCTGATTTGATAATGATTTACCACGGGTAATCTAATAAAATTTAGTAAGATTTTCTCAACGAGTCCGATCTTTACTAAAAATTCGAATATTCAATGAATTTATCTCCATTCTTTACCAACGTCCAGATGTTAAAAAAAAATTGAACAAATGATTTTTATTTTTTTGACTAGATTAAACCCCTGGACTCCATCACATGCACTACCGTATTTACAAGGGTAATGAAAATATTAAAAGTATTGCACCGTATTAATGCAATGATATAGGCAACCGATGAGATAAATGATTATTATAGAGTTGTAGATTCTATACTCAGTTGCTCTAGTGGATCAGGAAAATTGTTGACCGCAAAAAGGAGATTCTTTGATCAAAGAAAGGGAGGCAGAAATGGACATTCTTATTAAAAACTAGCGGACAGACTTGCACTTTTGCAAATTGCTAAACGATCAGTACGTATTGTCAAATTTTGTCACTGTGGAGTCTTAATGGAATTGTCTAATAGTAAAAGATTCATTGTTACTATTAATTTTGACATCCATGGATTTCAAATAGCTTACGATTGAGAATACTGACCACGACTAATTAGAACCGTTAAAGTGTGCAGACACAGGAAAATTTGGATATCTGATGGTGATATTTCTAAATGCATTATGCCGGTGTACGTGTGTCCCGTGGGAATATGTGGCTAATAAACAATGTTATCACGCGATCACTCAAAACCGGTATAAAAATACCACATTTTTACCATTCCTGATTTTTTTCACCTTGCCCCTTCTTTACCTACGTACGTACGTACGTACGCACATACGTATATACATATTTACAAACACGTTTTATGGGCATTTATTCATGTTGATTTATTTTTTAAAATCAGGAAGTTGATAAGGTATGCAATAAATGTTAAATTAATGCATTAGATTAATATAGAGATTAAATGCATGAACTTAAAATTTTTATATAGATTACAATTAATCGTTATATCGAAGTTTTTTTTGATGAAATTTTCAAGAAAGAAAAAAACAACAACCTAATGTAGCTAAAAAAAACCAAGATTCTTGTTCTTTAGTGATTGTAAATAAAAATTTCAAATTTATATGTAATAAAATTTCAAATTATATATAATAGATAATACAACTCATAGAATTTATTACATAAATTTTGTAAGCATATTTTGAATTTTTACATAAAAGATAAAACTGTATAATAAAGATGTATTCCTATTTATTCTATTTACTAATGAGGTTATCCAGTTGAGTACAAAGATTCTTTTAAAAGCTATTCTTTCGTAAGATAAAAATTAATCAAAGTTATCTACAAAGTTAATTGCCATTACATCACGCGTCTTTGCCAAGCAAAGCGACATCCCTGGCATAATAAATCACATCTCCCAATCCCAGGACATTCTACCATCCAGCGCTTGTCAAAAATTCTAAAATCTTAATTTTTTTTTTCAAATATACTTTGAATTCAAAGTAATCATTTCTAAAAGGTCAGAGTTCCACTTTGACCAGAGCTTGAGATTTTCTGAGCAATAACATACCAAGATAATCAACATTCCAGATTTCGGATGAATATATGCATAATGACGACGTATTTTTCAATAACTGATAAACCCATAAATCATAAATTTCAACATGAAACCAAGAATGAGAATAATATAATGTTTTGCTAAAGAAGTCTAAAAAGAATGAAAAACTATTTCAAGATAATATATACACATCAAACATAACAGATTTTCAGTCGCATCAATTCACATAAAGCAAGAACCCATCTAATAGCATCTTTGTCGTTTGCAATTCTTGAATAGAGACGAAACAGAGTCTACCTCACTCAACAACATGGTCTCACCGTGTCCACGCTTTCTCAAAAAATCATTGGACGATCCCAAAGAATCGTTACTCAAAACTACAGAATCCACATTTGACGGCAGCATAGTCAGATCATCATCCTCACGTCCATGTTTACTTGAAATACTATCAGAAGAATCTCCTTTTAAACTACTACCATCATCATCAATGTCAGCGTCATAATCATCATCAACGGTATTATTTCGGTCTTCAATTGTCTCGCAGGTACCAAAAATGATCTCAACTTTTTCATTTTCTGAATCAGTGCAACCATCGTCATCGTAGTCATCATTATCATCCGTGTCTTCTTCAGAAGAAGTAGTAAAAACACCGAATAACTCTAAGGCAAAAAATTGAAATAACATAATAAAAATCAGTAAATAAATAAATAAATTTTTTACATTATACAGAGTTTATTTTTTATTTTATTTTTTAAAAAAAAATTACCTTCTTCCTCAAGACTTTCAAGCAAGGTATCGGCCAATGAACAAGTTCTTTCAACCAGTAAACATTTCCACAAGCCACGTTCTCTTTCCATATTTTTCAATTTGCCAAATGATAATTGAGAAACTTCTTTACCAATCAAGATTTTTTTTCGTAATTGACTTCTTGTATGATGCCTAAATTCAAAATTGGACATTTCTCTATGGCAAGGAATGGAGAGATATAATTTGCGATAAAGACAATCTTTGGACGATGATGGAATAAAATGGCGTTTTCTTATAGAGCGGAAAGTTTCGAGATATATAAATGATGGGTTCGAATTATGGACTGAAAATTATTACGCAGGGTGTGTGTGATCAAAGAGGCAAAGAAAATTTCGAGAAATGAGGGAAAAAAAAAAATGTCAATCAATTACTTGAGAATGTAAGGTGGCTTGTATGAATTGTTTGATCTGATGTGTCAATATTTCGTTTTTTTTTCGAAGATCCGATTTTAGTTAGACCGATAACGTGAGGTTCTTACAATTCAGTAATGAAAAATGATACTGACTAATGGTTGAGGTAGTTAGAGTTAACAAGTCATTAAAAGTTTGTAAAATTGATGACGTATACACGGCAAATGCAGTTATACGTAAAAATTTGTCCTGTGACGTAGGAGTTTGTAAACATTACAGTAACTCAGTTTTTTAAATAACCGATGAAATTAAATGAACAAAAAAATCGAAATTCTGAAAATCTGTGAATTTTTCCTTGTATAAATGCACGTGCATTTATCCGTGCACAATCACCGTTAAAAAAATACCGTTCTATAACAACGATAACCGTTAAACCCTTATTGGATTTATAAAATCTCTTTGGCAAACTATTGGATTTTCACGTATAGTATATCAAGTGCTTCATTAGCAATATAAGATCATTTTTGATTTAATTATTTACTTTTAACGGTACTTTAAGAATTAAACAAAAAACCAATTACATAATGTATATACAGTATATATATATAAAAAAAACAATTAGCATTTGAATACGAAATTATGAATATAACTCGTGATTCACGGAGGTTGCATTACAGGTTTTGGCATGTGGTACATACGTACCAGAAAAAAAAGAGTTATTTCTATTATTATCGTTATAAGAATATAAGAATATAATATAGAGACGGGTTTGATTTTTTTAAAAATGTGCATATTCGTTGTCCCACGTAGTGATGCAGTAGAATCGTCCCAATGATGTCGAATGATAATTGTCACATGGTTGTAACTTGTCGTAACCAGGCCTACCGAATAATTGATTGTGCAATATTTCGAACTCAATTAATTGATTGATGGCGCAGTCATAATTGGTCAATTAATTGCAATTTTACGTAATTGG